GGTTGAATGAAGAGCTGCACATTTGAGAGAGCAACGTGATTACGGCCTTGACTACTAGAGGTCACTCATCAGGAGAAGATGAAGTTTGTTTTGGGTGTTTGAACTTGGGTTTTTTGCTCATAGTTTCAGTTTCATATTAGCAAACAAATGAATAAAACCAACAGGACTGAAGCCTGATTTAGTGCCGGTGGCGTTGGGGGTGGGGGGGTTAAATAAAGAAACAGGCCGAGGAGGGAGGGGGGATGAGGAAGGAGGCAGTGGAAGTGGCAGATATTGAGCACAAAAGCTGTTTGAATGTGATATGTAAACTGCAAGGTCTCCTGGGAAGCGCTCTCTGAGCCCGACACACACACCTACACACACTTCAACACACACAGACACAATCTGGTGGCGATGCAGCGGTGAAAGGAGAGGAGGTTGTTGCCCGAGTCCAAACGGTTGAAATGACTCGGAGAGCCGTGGCTGCAGGCCTCTTAGTGATACATGCCCACCATTTAGGAAATGGGCTCGGGATTTATTCATTATAATTCATCATCACAGTATTATCATTATCATCATGATCGTAATGATGATCGCCTTTATTATTCTCATTATCATAATCACAATCTCCACTGTAATGGCCGTCATTTATTTGGTTTTTATGGCCCATTCCGAGACGGTGACATACATTGTTAGCGGTGACAGTTGTTTGATTCAAGGTCCCGCTCCGCCTGGCCCGCGGCCGTCCAGGTAGCTCCACCTGAGCTGCCGCGCCGCCGCCGTCCGGACGCCACGGATCGGTGACAGAGAGGGACGAGCGCAGAGCCGTGTCCTCGCGCGCTGGAGGTTAATAGCCTGAGCGGCCATGTTGGGCCCAGGGGTGACACGTTGCAGACAGATGCTGGACCGCGGAGGGTGACAAGGTACCGGAGCCCCTCGGGTCAATCTGTTTCATCGGTCACACATGACACACTCGACCTTTAGCGTATGTTGCCGGGCTGCGGCGCTCCGCTGTCCTCCAGCTCTGTCTGTCGGGCTTTTTATCACGCGTGTTTGCAGACATCCAGATTAACTTTCAGCCGGCGCGCAAACAGGCCAGCAGCCCGCTGACATCAGGGCCAAGCACACATTCTGGGAACACAAACGCTGAATTGCTGACTCCGAGCACCTCAGACTGCAAACTACTAACTCAATAACTTCGAGTGTCACCGAGATCCGGGAATGCTGCCTGCGCGCCGCTGCTCCCGAGGCTCCAACCTGCCTGCCTGCTTGTGAAGCGGCGCTGTAGCAGTGGAAAATAATTACCTCTGTATTACCATAGGAGGCCACCTTCAGTGGCACTTTACTGTCCCGACAGCTGCTGTCACAGGGAGGAGGAGGTGGGATGCAAAACACACCGTCACCGCCAAAGCCAGCAAAGCTAAGAGTGAGAGAGCTGTCAACTCCTGCAGCTCTCTGGCTTCCTGTTCAGTCATTTCTCTAAAAGACTCCCTTGCTGTTATTTGCAAATCGCCTGCAAAGTGCTCTGCTCAGCACTTTCCCCCTCCTCGCAGAGTGGCATTACAAGAGCATAATTGAAACTATCTGATTGGAATGCTGCCAAGCAGGTAGATTACATCCGATTAAATAGGAGCCGGGGTGGGGGGCTTCGGAGTCTTCGCTCACAAGAATTATAATGCCCAAGCCTTAATTCATTACGCTCCTCTTCCGGTTTGTTTTCTCTCTCTAAAGAAGCTGCAGATATAAGCTCTCCATCACCTGGAGGAGAGGCTGGTGACCCGGCTCAGCCACCGTCGCTCCTGCACAGGAGGCAAAGCGTTCAGGATCTACCTGCACTAAAAACCACGACGTGGTTCGATTCCTGGGATTTCTGCTAGATTTTTATTTAAATTCTTGTTATGTCAATGCAAAGTGTTAACTTTGATCCTGCTTGAGTCATATCAGAGTTTTATTATCCAAACTGACTAATTTAAACTACTGGAGGGCCACAAAATTGACTCAATTAAAAATGCAAAAAATGATTTTATTTAAATTTTTTAAATGATTTTTTAGATTTATCTGCTCAATAATGAACAAAATCTTTATGAAATCTGTATATCATTACTTCAGAAATATCAGAAATATTTTCTTGTGGTCAGGGGCCGAACAAAATCATATCAAGGGCGACAAATGGCCCCTGAGCCACACTTTGGACCCCCAGGCTTATGTGGAACAGTTTTAGGAAATATGTAACAAACATACTTTTATCAAAGTTCAGTTCTCCCTTTCTGCAGCTTTAGTGATTCGTTTGACGACCCGGTGTAAGTATAACCGGTCCAGTTCAACCTGAATTTGGTTAGTAGGAAAAGAAAACCTCAAACTTTCCAGGTCTGTAGGAAACTTCTATGGATATATATCTATGCTGTGACACAATAGAGCAAGAAAAAACCTGCAAACAACAGGAGGGGATGAATTTGCCTTTCCTGAGGCTGAGAAATACCACAGTTTTCATTTTTATTTATTATTTCACATTCAGAGGCAGGACTCACTGTGCAGACCGGCAAAATGAATGGCGCTCCTGCGAGTCTCAGAGCCTCCATGCGCGGGACTTTGGTCTGTAAATTTTGGGGTTTTAAATTTAGTTTTAGAGCCCAGAGTCACTGTTGCGGCCTCGAGCTCAGAAATCATTCAGTAAAAATGGCCGCGCCGTGTTTACATCGGCCCAAACCCGAACAGGAGCCGTAAAACTCCAAACATCAGAGAGCCAATCGATCTCCTGCTGCAGTGCTGTCTGAATATTAACACAAAGATGCTGAGGAGCGGCTCATTCTTGATGAATTAGGATGTCGGCAAAATGTTTATGTCAAAATGCTAAAATCAGAGAATCTGTACATTGTTTATTTCTGGTCATTTTGGCTTCCAGCTAATAAATTATGTTCTCAGAACATTAGAATATTATATCAGATCAATAAAAAACTGAACTTTAACCCAGACATGTTATGATATGCTCATGTAATGTCCGAATGGAAACGATGCCTCTCTGCCAGCGGCACTGATGCACCGATACACTGATGCACCGATACACCGATACACTGATACACCGATACACTGATGCACCGATACACTGATATACCGATACACTGATACACCGATACACTGATACACCGATGCACTGATACACCGATGCACTGATGCACCGATGCACTGATACACCGATGCACTGATACATCGATACACCGATACACTGATGCACCGATACACTGATGATTATTTTACATGTACCGTTCAGTGGGCCAACATTTCTGTAATAGCCTCAGCCTTTCAGAGGAATCTGGGTTTGCATTAGCAGTAAACCAGAATCATCAAATTAGGATTAATAATTAGATTGCGACAGACTGGCGACCTGTCCAGGATGTACCCCGCCTCTCGCCCGGAACGTTAGCTGGAGATAGGCACCAGCACCCCTCCCGACCCCACTGAGGGACAAGGGTGTTCAGAAAATGGATGGATGGATGGATGGATGGAATTAGATTAGAGTATTTTGTATCTTCTTCCTTCGCAACATGTAACAAATGGAGTAGCGTCAGATTTTAGTGGTTGGAGGATTTCTCTCTTCTCTTTGGAGTCATTTCTTCAGTTAGCGCTAGCATAACACGTTTGTTTTGGTTGTTTTTACCCAGAATGCCCTGTACTGTAGTCCACTTCCTGCTTCAGGTGTGAATGCACCCTTAAATTAACGCATTTATATCTGGAGATCATCTTGCTGTATTTACATTTCTGCTCTGGTTTTGTAAATGTGCAGCAGGACAGATCCACTCTTCCTCTGGTTTACTGTTAGTTTCCGACTGAGACGTGGAAGCAGGTATTGTGATAATTTAAACTATTAAATCATTGAGACTTTGAATCTCCTCCCACTCCTGCAGATCGCCGTCAGCACAGCCTCTGAAAGCGACACCCTGCTGGCGTCTCCATGCTTTAAATGCGGCTCGCCAGAGACCACAGCTCGTGTGTGAGTGTTTGCATGTGCTCGTCCATGTTTTCTGCATGCTCCTGTGAGTGTGTGTGTGTCTATGTTATCACAGTCCCCCAGAATACCCTTTGGAAAGTCTTCATGCCGCTGACACGGGCTGTGAAAAATCTGGAAATGAGTGCTGCCCTAATGCCACTGCCTTAATTTGTTATCTGAAAAGAGAATGATTACTCATGAAATTCAACCAAACCTCAGACTATTTGAGCCGAGCCAGATAACGAGCTCGCTCCCCGGCAGCCCTCTGCTACCCTCGTCTCCAAGGATTTGGAGAAAAGTTCGGCGCTGCCTCTCTTCCTCAAGTCGCCTGCTTTCAAGTCAGCTTGTTTGAACACGATGCCGGCCTGCAGACCGGGCGGCGGACAGCGCCACCTTCCTGGTAGAGACGCAGAGGGAAGGAGCCAGCGCTCCCTACGCCTCATTAAAACACACACACACTCTGCTCTCTGTGGGGAATTGACACAGAATCCATACGTTTCGCTGAATTCTCACTCACTTGACTCTTTTTAAGTCTTTAAGTCAAGAAGATGTGCAGAGCAAAGCGTCGTGGCGGGGTGGAGGAGCTGAGCGCAGCAGAGTCGAGCCAGCAGAGGGGGGATCTGCTCCTTCAATCTGTGTTTCTGCAGGGTGCCCTAATCAAAGGCACCCGGGCCCGTCTGCGGCACCCAGAGCAAACCGGCTGGGCCCGTCATTAAAGGCAGCCAACGCAGCAGTGGGCGACACTACACCAGCGGCCCCCGAGGATTAGGCTCTGTGTTTACACCCCACTAATCTCATCCCTCTGTCCTCCCCGAGAAGAGACGGCTGGATGCGGGGAGAGGAGATGGAGGGGAGCGGGGAGAGCCAGCCGAGCTCTCATCTCTCCACGGCGACCATCTCTGGGCTTTTTCTCACAGCGGGCGAACAGATGAAATGAAATCAAATGCGAAACGGAGAGAGAAGGGAGACAGGGAGGCATCGAGCGGAGGAGTGGTGTTCAGTGTCAGAGAGGGGGAGGAAGACGAAGGAGGAGGGTGAGCCTCCTGCCAAGTCCCCCTCCCCCACCCCACTTTAAACTCTCCTGCATGTCAGCCATTACTGTAAGTGCAGGATATAACTGTGGAGCAGTTGGAGAGCGTCACACAAATCTTCAAATCAAACATTGCTACATTACAAGGCGATGATAATGCGCCGCTGCTCGGCTTCTGCTGCCTAAGCACTTTTTCTGCTGCCAAATATTCATGGCTGTGCAGTAATTGTGAGGCCGGGAAAATGGAAGTGTTAGCAACGTTCTTTATGAGTGACCTGGATCCCTCTCAGGGGGGCTGCGACCTCGCCGTGACCCCCAACGCCACCACAGAAGAAGAACCCTTCTCCTTTCATCTCTAACCACCTTTTATAAACATTAGAGCCACGAGAGTCGTCTTCGCTTTTATCGGAAACTTTGGATGTAAATCCCGAGTCGAGGGATTTGACTCTGAGGCAGCAGGAAGGCGACTTTCACGCTGAGACTGATCCGACTGGACAGCAGCTGGAGTAAAAGGCATCTCCGCCGTGCCGCTTTCACCGAGGGCAGAGAGGGTGAAGGGCGTGTCGCTCCGACAGAGAGACCAACTCTTTGCTGTCAGATAAAATCTGATCAGCTCTGCCTCTGCATCTTCAGACATCTCAGGATCTGAACTTCCCTCCCAAACCGCTAAACATCAAGCGCAAAATCAATTTTGATACGCAAAATCAACAGATCCCGGCATTTCTTACACCAAAACTCAATTGCAAGTTTATTGGAATTTAATTGTCAGACATTGGGTGATTAATGCTAACTCCCACCTGCAGGTGGCAGTATTTTTTACATCTACTACACTGCTGACAGCTAACAAAAAGTTACACTTACTGTCACACACAAGTTAAAATATTGCAAAATTCCTTGCAAAAACTTCTGAAGTAGCATCACAAAAATCAGAAAAACAATCAGGAAATCTTGGAGCGACTGAAGATCTGAATGTAAATAAAAACCAGAAATCTATTCCTATTTATTGATCGACTCCCCGGCCATTTTTACTAGGTAAACCTGTTCAATTGACCCGTTTCACTCAACCACATGGCAGCAAGTCAAAGCTTTAGGCATCTTCACGCACCAAAGACCACAAGTTGTTCTGAGTGTTTCAGAAGCTGCTGATCTGCAGCCAAACATCCTTCAGGTTTCCAGAGAACGATGGTTAGGATGGAAATGTTTCAGTATCAGCAGGCTGATCATTGGTAAAAAGACCAATGACTCCACACACTGAGCACACAACTGGTGAAACCTTGAGTAGATGGGCTACAGCAGCAGACGACCTCTTTCAGAACAGGAAACTAAGGCGACGGTTAACCTGTCCACCAAAGTCCAACAACAACCGACTGGAGGAATGTTGCTTAATTATTGGATAGCAAAAGGTGCTTAATAGGTGATTTTTTTCATTTGGAATTGAACCGGATGAAGCTAAACTTGAGTTCTGTGTGGAACATTAACAAAGGTTTATTTATTATTTTTTCATCTTAAATGTAAAACGTACGTATTAATTTCTGCTCTGAATACGTCCACCTTTCAGTAAAATCCCTGTTTTTGACTCTGTGTATTCCAGTTAGCAGTTAATCAATAACTAAACTAGTTGATGACGATTAATCGTGTCGGCCCTCTAAAGCATGGATCCAGGTTATTTAATAGTGTTGGAGTTATTTTCTTTGGGCCAATAATACCAACCAAACATCATTTAAATGCCACAGCCTGTTAACCAATAAAGAGTCTCTGGGATGTGGTTATTTATGGTTCATAATGTGAATATTTGGATGTTTTGTTCTGCAGTCATGGGAGATTTTTACAGGCTGTGCAGGGCGTATTCTGGGCCGGCCGTGTCTGCTTCGAGCACAAAACCCGCAATTCTCTGAGGCAATGTGCAGAACTTCCATATGCAACTTATGTTGACATAATAAAGCTAATATGGTGGGCAGTGGGGACAATTAAAAATGCACATTACTGTAGTGCAGATGGGGCCACATGTGCAAGTTCAATTATGCAGAAAATAATTTTCTAAAGTCTCCTGAAACAATCTGTTTGCACACCTTGTTTAAAGTCAAGTACAAACATGTAAAATTATGATTTATGTGGAGTTTAATTGTAGCTAAAGGCTGAATGCAGCTTTTTAGGGACAACATGTTCTGGTGTTTAGTTAATCTGGATGCTTCCTGTTCTGTTGCTGAGCAGCTTCACTTCTAATCCACAGCTGGTCTGGGCTTGTTTTGCTTTCAAAATGGCTGCTAAAGACCGCTCAGTCGTTTCTGCTCAGGCTGGAGGCGCATCTCAGATCAGCTACACCATCATCGGAAAGTTCATTCACTTTGGTCATTCAGTGCAGAAGAGAAAAATCCTGAAGGAGCCCAGACATTGTTCGTCAACATTTCTGGATTAAAGCTGCAGAATGTAACTTTTAAATTAATCACTTTTTTATTGATTAATTCTATTTGTTAAAACTTTCACCATGTTGTGACAGTTTGAGACATTTAATCTGTGAAAAAATCCATCTGATGCTGCCGTCTGCAGAAATGCACTGCTCAAAAACAGGCAATCAGTCTGGAGGAGGGTCTTAGCGCTGTCAATCAACCTCATGCACTCGCTGCTAAATGTGCTAATGGCAGAGAAAGAACTTAGCGTTACAGACAAATCGTTTATCCGCCATAATCTGTGGTTATGTTACCTAGCATTAGCATTCACAGCAGGCTAATGCTAATGCTGAAGAATAGCAGAGATCAAGGGGGAGAGGAATGAGCAGCACCGGGCAAGATTGTGACTGACAGCGCTAAGTCCCGCCTCCTGGCTCTCATTGGTTGTTTCTTATAAACACAGATTGAAACATGATTTTTTCAGATGATCTATCTCATAATATTCTGTCACGGCGTCATGGCAGCTTCAACAAATATGTACAAAATATATTTTTTATAAAAGTTACATGCTGCAGCTTTACATATTAATATTCACATTTTCTGAGAAACTAAATTTGTAGCTTTTTATTTGTTGTAAGCTAGAATCTTCCAAATGATCAGATGTGTGTGTGTGTGTGTGTGTGTGTGTGTGTGCGTGTGTGTGTGTGTGTGTGTGTGTGACTTTCTGAACTGAATATATATTTTTCCGATGATCTGTATTTACTGCGATGCACCTCCAAAGTTTCTGGAACCAGAATTTCCCTGCAGCAGAGACGCAGCTAATTCATCAAATTTTACAACAATATTTCTAACAATATTTCTCATCTTTTGTTAGTTGCACAAAAAAAGAATCACAGTTAATCAGTTAATGAAGTATAAAATGATAAGAAGAATATATTTTACTTGCTGACAGCGTGTTGAGAACAGTGTTTGCAGGTGATGCAGGGCACTGACCGGTGCGGTCGTGGTGGCGGTGATGGTGGGCGTGCTGTTGTCAGTGCCGGCCGGCTCGCTGTGCGTCTGTGTGGGCGTGTACAGGGTCATGGCGTGCTCGGGCACCCGGCTCTGCCCGGTGTAGTCCTGCGTCGGGAGCGGGTGCGGCGCCGCAAACTCTGCAGGGATGCCATTCTGTGGGGGAGGCGGGTACTGGGCGGGGGTGTAGGGCTGGGCCATCGCTTCAGGAGGGTTGGTGGCCTCTTGGTTACCCTGCGAGACACACAGCGAGAAGGCAGAGGAAGTTAAAGCTACAGCGCGTCGCTGGGCTTGTGTGAGCAGCATGAAAGGCGTCCGGGTTCCCTCCTGAGACTCAAAGGGCAACCGGGGAGAGTTGTCCTGCCAAGCTTCAGAGCCGAGAGGAAACAGCCATCATATCACGTCTCAGCTCACATTAGAGGAACCCTTGATCATCTCTAATGAACATAGTTTACATTGTAGAGCGTGGCTTACAGTTAGAGGGCCAAGAGTCAGGGGGAATCTCAAAGCACAAGAGGAAAGATCAATTAATTGATCAAATTTTGATTGAGCTCTTTGATTTCAGTGACAGGTCTGTTAAACGAGCAGCTGCTCCCTCAACGAGATTCTCTTTAATACTTCCAGCAGAAAACGGTTCCCCACTCT